GTGAACACTGTCCTTCAAATAGAAACAAAGATGGAGTAGAATAGTGGAATATTTGTGTTGTATTCATGTGAAATCCAGAGAGACCAGGTACAAGATGGCGTTGCGCAAAAGATGCGTTGTTCCCCGACCGCAGAGAGCGGTTAAGCCGCGCACTTCCGCGGGACTGGGCGCACGCGACCGCGGTGTCTCGCGACCTCGGTGTGTCGCAGCATCTCGCTGCCCGCTCTACGAATTCGCGCGCCGAAGGAGGGCGGGCGCGCGAATCCGTATAGCGGGAAGCGTAACATCGCGCAGTTTTCGTCACACACCGGCTCGGCTATGGCGGCCTTCGGTGGGGGCATTTGCTGCTGCTGCTGCTGCAGAGCCGCGCTGCGCGGCAGGGGCGAGTTTTTGTTGCTGTTGCTGTTTTCGAGTATCTACTTAGCTACGTGTAAAAACTGGCACAGCCACGCCACCCCGTGCTCGCAGTATTCGCCCGCCACGCCAGCGCAGGTGCTCGCACGACGTGCCGTCGCCACGGGCAGCGCGGGGTCAACAGGTTGGTAAAACCTCGCACGTACGCAGTCAGGCGCCGGCACGGCGGGAGCGCGTTTGAAGATAGCATCTAGGCCGCGCCACCCCACGTGGAGCGCCGTACGACACTTCGTAAAAAGCTCTGTGATAGACATAACGCTATACTCGGCACTAGTGCCCACGTACTATTTTAATTGCAATTTACATTGAAAACAATAAAATACATAAGAAATTGTAAAAAAAACTATTTTAATATGAAATATATAATACTGTTTACCCAAGTCATCTTCTTAGATACCTGTCTAATAAATATCCTTTAAGTTAAAGCTGCTATTTGTTGCTTAAATCACATTAAGTGAAAAAAATGTATGAAATTGAAAAAATTTGCATTAATTATATTTGAGCAAGAATTGTGGGTAAGTGTGCATGTTGCGCGAGTGGGATAAGTTGGAATAGTGATTGGCATCATATTAGCTACACTTTAAACAATGTTTCATGTTCTGCCAAGGAGGGGACCACAAAAGTCAATATTTGAATGCATTTGTAGTGTACGGCCTATAGTCTAAAAGGCATGACTGTTGAACAACGGTGGAATGCAGCAAAACAGAATCGCTTGCGTTTTCGTTGCTTAGGCATAGACCATCGTGGAGCGGTATGTCGAAATAGCCGTGTTTGTGGTGTCAGTGGCTGCGAAAAAAAAAACATAATAGTCTGCTGCATGGAAGTGAAAACAACTCAGCTGTCGGCTGTCTAAACCCAAGTGCGGCAGAGTGGCTGAGAGGTAGTTCCTACAATAACCCAGCGCAATCTCGTACACACACTGTGTCATCAACTCATACCGCATCGTCGGGGAACGTTATTGCGTTATGTACAATTCCAGTAATCTTAAACAACGGGGCTCGGCAGCTCAGGGTAAATGCCTTACTTGATGAAGGATCTACCTATAGCTATATAAATGAAGCGGTTGCGGCCCAGCCAACCTTGTAACCTAAACGTGGCTGTCATGGGTGGAGCAAGGAGAGTATACGACACAACGTGCGCGTCGGTCGAAATTCTTCGCACTTCGGATAGTGAGAAATGTGGTGAAATCAGTGCACATACGGTTAAAGATGTCACTGGAGATCTGACAGTCATCGACTGGAATAGATTAGCTGGTAACTGGCCACACCGGAATAGAATTTCCAAAGATCGGTAGCCGCGCAAAGATGGACTTACTTATCGGAGCCAATGCAGCCAACCTTCATTGTTCTATTCACGAAATTGTCGGTCGACCAGGGGAGCCCATCGCTCGTCTTACACTCCTGGGATGGATGTGCATTGGTCCAACAGGTGTCGCACAGACACTTAGGCCTCGAAGTCTATTCTCACATTCACATTTCGTTAACAGTAATAAAACTGCCGATGACTGTGAGTTGAGTTCGCTTATCAGACAGATGTGGGACATAGAAAAAGTTGGCATAACTCCAGACGCGGAGATGAACCCTGATGAAAGGAGCATCCTCGCCATGACAGATAAAACCCGGGAATTCACGAATGGGAGATATCAGGTGTCAGTTCCTTGGCGGGAGAACGAGCCTGATCTTGTCAGCAACAAGGAAGCAGCTATGTCACGCCTCGTATCTTTGGAGAGGTCATTGAAACGGCGGCCACAGGTGGCAGAAGAATATCGAAGAGTTATTGGAAACCAAATACAACAAGGTTATGTTAAACCAGTACCAGCTGAGGAGCAGAACTTGGATAAGTGTTGGTTTCTTCCCCACTTTCCAGTAGTGCGCATGGATAGATCGACAACGAAAGTGAGAGTAGTGATGGATGCGGCAGCCAAGAACAACGGCAAATCACTGAATGATTGCATACACTCTTGTCCCAAGCTCCACCGTGAAATAATTGATGTCCTCATGCGCTTCTGTCGGAATCCAATCGCCATAGTAGGTGACATCACAGAAATGTTTCTGCAAATCGAGTTGGCACCAATGGATAGAAAGTATCATCGGTTCCTCTGGCGTGATAACGAGAATGAACCAGTCCAGGAATATGAGTATCAACGGCTAGTGTTTGGCAATAGTGCGTCCCCATATCTCTCGCAGGACGTAATTAGACATCATGCTAAAACACATGCAGATTCCCATCCTGATGCAGCAGAATCTGTGTTGCGCTCTTAGTCTACATATGTTGATGACGTAATGGACAGTGTTAGTTCTGAGCAATTCGGCGTCGAGTTGCGGTGTGAAATAACTGACCTACTCGGAACAGCTGGATTCGTCATAAGAAAATAGATGTCCAACAGTATAAACGTGCCGGAAAACGAGCGGCCCTTAAACATTGAATTAGACTCGAACGATTTACCAGCGATAAAAACGCTGGGCTTGATATGGGATGCAAGTCGTGATGTGTTCACATTCAAAGTGGAAACCCCACCATCGGAAATAAGAGCAACAAAACGAAACGTGTTTCAAAGATCAGCAACGCTCTATGACCCACTAAATTTTTTGGCACCGTTTACGATTCGTGCAAGAATTTACATGCAGCAAACATGGGTCAAGGGCATAGAGTGGGACGAACTTCTTCCGCTAGAGTTATCGCGAGAATGAAGAAACTGGTTCAGTGAACTTCACAAGCTTACGATCATAAAAGTGACGCGATGTTTGTCACTACACAACGGACGTATCGTCAGGAAAATGCTTCATACGTTCGTGGATGCAGCGATGTGCGCATATGCCGCAGCCATTTACTTACGGTGCGAGTACGAAGAGGGACAAATCTCGGTTGCCTTAGTTGCATCCAAAGTTAGAGTAGCGCCACTTAAGTCACTGTCGATTCCAAGGCTAGAATTATCAGGAGCACTGATTGGTCTTCGTTTGGCACAGCGTGTGTGTGCTACACTAAAGATAGCAAACTACGAAACCATTTACTGGTCAGATAGTTTGAATGTACTCTATTGGATTCGGGGCGAGTCGCGTCGTTACAAGCCATTTGTTGCACACCGGGTTGGCGAGATCCATGAATGTTTGTCACTATAACAGTGGCATTATGTGCCTACAAAGTTGAATAGTGCAGACTTGGCCACCAGTGGATTAACTGTAGCTGAGTTGATGGAGTGACCTGTGGTGGAATGGTCCGTCGTACTTGGCCCAGGCTCCTTCAAACTGGCCTGAAAATCGTCCTGAACAGCCAGTAGACAAGGCCTATGAAGTGCGTCAATCGTTAGTAACGGTCAAGCAACCAGAAAGTGTTGACCTTGGTCGTATCGCTCCGTCCAGATTCTCTTCGTGGTTGAGATTAAGACGGATAACAGCCTGGATATATCGTTTCATTGAGAATGCTCGAAAAAGGCCAAGCAATAGAATCCTTATTCTATTCCAGAAATGCAGCATGCAGAGTTAGTATGGGTCAAGCATGCACAGGAAGAAGCACGTACTCGAGGGAAATTGGCGATTTGAGTCGTGGACGCACGGTGAATCGACCAAGCTCAATACTGAGGCTGAATCCGCGATTAGACAGCAACGGTGTGGTGAGAATGTACGGTCGACTAGAGAATGCACACCACCTGCCATGTGAGACGCGGTTTCCGGTGATTCTGCCACGCAAGCATGATGTGACTCGCCTTATAGTCACAAATGCACACTCACAGAATGACCACGAGGCAGGTGTTTTACATACACTAGCAAACCTACGTGGCAAATACTGGATCATACATGGGAGGGAAGCAGTAAAAGAAGTCGACCACCAATGTCTATGGTGTAGACGTCGGAGGTGCAAAGCAGCTTTTTTTTTCAGGAGTTGACTTTGCCAGGCCCTACCTGACCAAACAAGGACGAGGATGTGTACGTGCAAAACGCTACATATGCCTATTCATGTGTCTCGCATGTAGAGCAGTACACATTGAACTAGCCTGGAGCCTGGATACCGACTCTTTCCTCACAGCATGCTCTCGGTTCACTAACAGGCGAGGCAAGCCAATCCAGATGCAATCAGATAACGGAACAAATTTTGTGGGAGCTGATAACGAGCTAAATGGACTAGTACTAGTAGCCACCCTAGACCAGAATAAAATGACAAACACCATGACAAACCAAGGAATGGTGTGGAGGTTTAATCTGCCCAAATCCCCACACTTTGGAGGCGTGTTCGAATCGATGATCAAGTCTGCGAAGCGCACCCTATCTGCGGTGTTAGGAAATGCCGACATCACTGATGAAGAGTTTTTGTCTGCCTTGGTGTGTGTTGAGGGTCTTCTCAATTCGCGACCCCTCACTTACCAGGGTGCCGATCCTGACGATGAACCGATCCTCACACCCAATCACTTTCTGATTGGTCAGATGAGTGGGCAACTGGCTCCGTACTCCCCTCTAATACCCTCTGAACATGTAACAAGATCACCTATAGTGATATCACATTGTCACAATATTTAGTATAGTAGTTATAGTAGCATAACAACCTATAGTAGTTAGGTGGTACGTAGATAGCTGCTGAACTAATGTAATTACCTTTGACGTCAATCAGCATAGATTTGTCCAATGCTTCGCCATTCACTGGGTCTGTGCCATTGTCTGCTACATACTTCTCTATCAAACGTCTCTCAAATATGCTTCCTGACACAGGAGAAATGACTGGGTTCTCTGGAACTTCATTTGAAACTGAAAGGAAAATTAAATATCAATAGTACAACTACAACTATGTTTGTACATTTATGTTAGAATCCCGACTGTCGTACAGATAGACTATGCAGGAGTGCAAACAGATCACATGCTGTGATAGTGAAAGGCGACACAGGTTAAGTTAGTACTCTGATGGGTACCATACAGCACCTTGATACTTTCTCCTATAAACAAAGATTGAAGTGTTGCCTGTTGGTTATAGAACTCTTCCATTAATCATTAATGAGAGAATTCTTAAAACTAATTTAGAATATTAACATTCATACTCTCCCCATCTGCATTTTTATTATGCAACAATGTGTTTGTGGTAACACCATGTACTACATTCAGGAGTCAGGGGCCCGTTGTCAGAAACATCGTACACTAGCAAGTAGACTTTACTAAAGTAGTGTAGTGTACAGTGTCCCTGTCAGTACTGACTTAGTGACTACTGAGTACTGTGATTCACTGATTGTGAAAACCGGGGCGATTGAGCAAATTTGTGTTTCCCGGCCGGCACTGGTCATAGTCGTAAAAACGAGACAATTCTTGCGTTTCGATGACGTATGGTGACCCTGACTGCACTACTCTGTAGTGAAACGTTGTGGAATCACGACGTTGTGCACACCAGTCACCACACAGGCACTTGAAGCGTTTCAATAAAATATAATGCTAAACAAGAGCCGCACAGCATCTGGGCTCATCTGGGGTCTGTTGCTACGGTTATGAACGTACAATTTCAGTCGTGCGTAGTGACACATTTGTTAGGCGCAGATATGCAGATACGCAGTTGCGTACACATCATTGTTAGGACAAAAAGTACCTCGGGGTACTATCTGATATGTCGCTGCGTACCCTGCATTTTACCACCGTACCCTGACTTTCACACACACACTGTGACACAGTCTGTGAAACAGCAAAAATATTGAGATTAATTGATGAATCATCAATTAATATGAATAATTTAAAAAAAATTAATAAAAGCTAGTAGTCTCGTAGTTTAATGGTATTATTGTAATACTATCATTACCATAAATAAAAATGTAAAATGTGTCGTATATTGACATCAAATATAAAAAAATCCGCAATACCTTGCGGCGGTAATACCTCACCCACCAGTATAGGGGAGAAGCATAAAATGTTGTCATCCACTAAAAATTATCATTTTTCTGCAAAACCATATGTATATGGTATTATGGTTCTGCATGATTTTCATGATCAGTTGGCTGAAAGTCAGGGTATGGTGTGACAATGCAGGGTACGCAGCGACATATCGTATAGTACCCCGAGGTACTTTCTGATATATCGAACCGTATACCCAGGGTACCCTCCGATAGTACCCTGGGGGACATAGACCCTATCAGTAGTCAAGCTCAGCTTATGATGACGGCATCCCTTTATTTTTTTAATTTCCTTTGATCTATGAGTTATTTATACATTTAGAATTAATTTCTACATGTTACATAACAAAATTCGCAAGTATGTTGTACGGTTTTGTTCTATTTATTTATAATTATGTAATGACATGTTATACCTGTTTCACATAATTTGAATTATGTTTATACTTACTTATTCATTTGTACTATTTTGTTGAACTTGTAAAGCCTCGGTCACAACGAGCCCACGACGCATTTGTGCCACGACACGACAGAAAATTTGGGCAAATCACGAGTGACCCACGACGTAGTCGTGTCGCACGACTGTAGCACGCGCATCCCACGAGTGAACCACAACCTGTTCACGTGAAAAACAGCCCCCGACAATGCCCGACAACTCACGACTGTCGCACGACTGACTTGCGACACACCCACAACATAACCACGACATGTCTTTTTTTTCTGTCGCGTCCCCATCGCTAAACCATCTGATGTGTCGTAGTCCTTGTGACCACTCGAAATACATTTCGGACATGTTGCAAGATCTGGCCACGACAAATATTTTATGGGTCCACCACGACAAAATTTCGTACGATCCGTTGTGACCAGGGCTTACATGGAAAAATACAGAAAATGAATTCAAATCAAATCCATTTGTTTTTGTAATATAGGATTAATTCAAAATAAAAGGAGTAGATAGGCAGACTTTCTACTGTTTGCTTTATTTTGTTTGTTTAGCTGCTGGTAAAAGTGCAATCCCAGCGAGCAAATTTTGGCAGCACGCTTTCCTACCTGCTATATATTTATGTGTCAGTGCGCAGCGGCAGCCAGCGTTTGTTGCAGATTAGCCTGACCAGGCTGTGCGACGGATTGTCTATACAGCCTGACACCCTTCCATACAAAAAACCTATCACCTCTGCAGATCTAGATGAATAACTCTGTATATCTCAAATAAAACTATTCTATTACCACCTTTGACTTGCCTTGTTTGAAATATGAACGTTAACTCACAGTTGTCCTGCTTCTAAACTAGAATGTATCTCTTAATTCATGGTATAATCTGCTAATTCTCACAGCATATCAACTTTCCAATCAGCTTTACCCGCCATGTATACACTGCACATGAGTCAATGAAAGAGGGACACGGAAAACCCGAAACGGAAAAGACTAGCTAGAATATACTACAGAAATAGTACAATAGCTGCACGATGGCTCTCACGGCAATTATACACCAAAGCAAGTGAAACGATGTTCACAAATGTCTGGGCCATTTGTAAAAACCTTAGATGCCATGTTCTCGGATGTAGGGGTGGTTTACATGAGGACCGCAGATCGTTTAATTTCCCTTGTACGATCCATTGCGGATTTTAGTCACAGTCGGAATGATAGCAAACATGGTGGCAAATTCATAAATTCGGTTGCATTCGTCTCAAAAAGTCGCTGTAACCCCGTAACTACCCAGCGCATCGTAGCGCACTGATGGTTACAAGGAGGTGGACGTATACTGATTCATTTGGTATATCACATGTGTAGTGTTCTTTGGCGATACTTGGTAAATAAGGCAACTACGTGTTTAGCTGCAGCCAAGGTTTGAGACGGTATTCTAATCCTAGCAATACCGTTTCTTGGAGCTAGTTGCAGATGAGCATTTGCAGGAAATTGTCGGCAATAATCTGGATCTGGATCTGGATAGTTTACTGCGTAGCCCACGGTTACGTGGATTATAACGCAGGGACATTCCGTAAGGAATTAACGTCCAGGGCTATAGCTAGCCATGAGGTGTGACCTAGCTTGGTGAGGTGGTAAGCCAGGTAGTTAGCCTTTTAGCCGAATGGCACTGAGGATGGTCACAGCCAGTTCCTTTGCGCCCTCAGTGGTTCTTTTACGTCCCCATTGGCTAGAATTTCTGGAGACGGGACCGCCATTTTACGTGGTCATCCGAGCCACGGGAGATTCACAGTCTCCAATGTTGAGAGCCAGGTTTTTACACCTTGAGAAAATTCACTGGCCCTGCCGGGGTTTGAACTCGCAGCATTCAGTGGACAGTGCATGACGCCTACCACTGGGACACGGAGGCTCTCTATAATAGGTAACAGAGAGTATAGAAACATTAAGACTTTGGTAGTAAATAAATTTCGTATTTATTTCGCATTATATTTTATTGAAACGCTCCAAGTGCCTGTACTGTAGGCTGTGAGTAACCACACCGGCGGACATGTGCAACAACAAACAAACTCGAAATTGAACAATGTAACATTTAAGAATAAATATGAAACAACACACAAGCCAAAAATACACATATTGTAAATAATTTAGTCTATCTGGATTTCCAATTTGTTACCATTGTAAAAACAACAACTAGTTTCGTATAACAGTAGAATCGGCTAGATTTATATGAATTTTCAACTTACTCGAACAAATAAGCGCCATTTTGCACATACATGTGTCACGTGACCATTCAGTGGCATTGCGGCGACGACTGTAAGGACGATGACTATATGCTTTTATTTATTTATTCATTTATTTGTCTTATTTATTCTTACATATTTATATTATTTCTTACATATTTATATTTATATTTTTGTGTTCTATTTGTGTTCAGCAAGTGCACTGCTGCAGTTTCTTTTTTTTTAAGTTCATTTTCTTTTATTGCCAACTTTCTGGAAACCTATTTTTAATTTCAAAGGAAGTTATGCTGAGTAACCTCCTGCCCCTCCACACCTAATGTATTTTAAGCTCTTGATGTATATTTATAGATCAATTTACTCCAGGTAAAATGAAGACATATGAGCTATGTGAACCGCTTACCAACACAGACAAACAAGAGCCGCAGAGCGACTGGGCTCATCTGAGTGTGTTGCTACGGTTATTAACGTAAAATTTCAGTCGTGCGTAGTGACATATTTGTTAGGCGCAGATATGCAGATACGCAGTTGCGTACACATAATTTCAGCAATCTTCTGCATTCTGCATACCTCCCAAATCCCATTGGTTGATACAAATCGCGTGCCTGAAACTTCTGTTTCATGGTGAATCGTGACCATAACCCTATTTAAAAAAAATAAGAAAGTTATTTGTTGTAAATAAATCATGTAAATATTTGCCTTAATTGGAAAGAAATAGTTAAATGGATAAAGATAGAAAAATACAGAAAACAGATAAATAATAAAAAATCTGATGGGATTCGATCCAAGGACCTTTGAGCCGTAATCCTGTGCTGTAGCCGTTGGGCTATCGAGGCATATTGTCTTTCCAGATTATGGATGTTCCATGAATATGAGAACACTGACATCATTGAGGCAGTTCAGGAATCCATGTTTAACCCTCCTCTTGCGGGTCAAAAGGTTATCCGACACTTACTCTTCGCATGTCAGCAGAAAGTACATTTCATGGTCCTTTCAATAAAGCCATAAAAATGGTAGGTCACTGCTGAAACAAAAAAGTTTTTCAATCGCTCCGTCAGACCATGTCCTCAGGAAATGTCTAAAATCTGCACTGTGCCCCATTGACCTTTGACAACCAATTTCGGCACAGCGATGGTTTTTCCTACCATGATACTATACACCAACTATCACAAGCCTAGGTCAAGCCGTTTAGATTTGTGCCGCAATTCTGCATTTCCTCCCTATACCTTAAGTTAAGGAGGGAATGTTCGCCCTTCTTTTACACCTCTTGACCTTTGACCTTTGACCCCCCAGCTTCGACATCCTAACTCGTTTTCGGATTACCCCTCCCCACGTCCCGAATATCGTGACCGTACGTCGAGCGGTTAAGATTTGTGCCCAACTGTTGACGGACGGCCGGACGGACAATCATGCGATTCTACAAGCTGCATCTGACTACGTCAGATGAGCTAAAAAACTAATACAAATTTAAAGACATTAAAAACGTTTATTAAACTTATAGAAAAGTTCTAGTATGCAGCAGATCAACATAACATAAATATGCAAGCGAATTTTCAATATCTTACAACACACAATTACAAGGGCTATAATCACAATACATGTACATCCTTGAATTATACCCGATGCTATCCAACGATTGTTAATATCTACAGATATAACCGTAGCGCGTGCAACTAAAGCTGTAGACAGACAAGCAAGACAATTCCTGCGAAATTTCTAATAGATTGTTAGAGCTATTGCAAAAGCAATGACATGGAGTAAGATGCCATCCAATTACAACAAATTATTGTTTTGTAAACTAGTTCAACCTAGAGCATGCAATTCCAGCAATCTACTTACAGCTTGTCCACGATTTAAAGCCTATGAGCTTATAATAGGACATTTTACATAATAAACTACAGACACATTTCATTAAAACAATATATTCAAACAATAGTGAGGATAGTGCAGAGCAATGCCAACAATGTTTAGAAACTGGCATTACTGCAATGAATATTTGTGCTTATGTTAAACAGCATTACCTCAGCAAAGACTCACACATCTCTCTCGATGTGCAATACTATAGTCAGGAAGGAAACATTGTTTACTGGCACACACTTTTATATCAGTTATCATCGCAAATTCTCGGAGTTACAAACGAAATCTTGAAAGCCCTATTAAATGCTGTACAACGTATTGTGTGAATTGTATGTGCTCAACTCCCTGCATCCATGAAAATACAGTCTTAGCTAGCTGCCACAATCATATAAAGGAATGCCAGCTGGTGACCAATATCTACTTACAGATAAGGGCATTGCGCCAGGAGTGTATAATAGAGATTATACATCAGACCTATGTTATACACTCACGATAATATCAGTACGTCTCAACCAATAAGACATTCCAATATAAGAAGAGGGTCCCACCAAGTATCACATTCCAATCACACAAGGAAAGATCACCTTGTGCCACATTCCTTCCGCACAGAACTGAAGCTCTACCCTGCATACCACTCCTACATGGGTCAAAATCCTAAGGGGCCCGAGGGCCCGATACCCGTATTCTAAGGCTCGGGCCTGACATTGCTAATACTAGCAAGCCCGACGGGCCCTTAGAAAATCCATCCCCAGCATGCAAAACCGTCCCCGGCCTGTAAAATTTGCCTGGCGGGCCTGTAAAATCCCTTACCTACAGGGCCGATGGGCCTGTAAATTTTCAAACTGATTTCTACCCCTGCTCATACATTCCTACATCTTACCACATGGACATTAAGCCTGTGTAACATCACTGTCGTACAACCAAGGTACCATCTCATAACGATTATATCACATCTCACACTCACTCGTATCACACACGTGCTGACACAACTCTATAACACCAGGGCCATAGCTAACCAGGGAAGGAGAGGGGGGCAAGATACATATACTATTTCATGGTCAGTGGCAAACTGCACACAGTTCGGCACAACTGCCAAAAATCAAACTGCACGTGGCTCCCCCCCCCCACCAAGCAAAATGAGTTAGCTATGCCCCTGAACGCTCATATTACACAATAGGTGGCGCCACCTATGTACCCTGCCTTCTGATTCCGGATTATCAACTATTTGTGTTGTCGTGCTCGGAGATGTCCTCGCTGCTGGTGTCGCCATCTGATGACTTCTCATTGCGACGTTCTTCCTCTAGCCTTGTCTTGATCTTCTGTAGCCGCGTCTGTGGTGCCGTGAAATCAAACTTTCCTCGCCGCTCGCCAAATGGGTCCTGACGTAAATCAAGAAGACAGTTTCATGCCGCGTGGTTGTGACGATGACCGCAACCACGTACTTACTTACAAGAAATGCCGTGTCTTCTTGGTAAATCGCAGGGAATGTTTACGAATAATAGTGTAAATGGCACAATTTTATGTCTTTCACATTCAAGGAAAAATGTACTTTCATTATTATACAATTGGTAGCACATAAACAGTGATAGTTTTATTTGGTATTATAGAAATGAATGGTTGTTTGCATATATCAAGTTGCAATGATGTAGTTGCATTTGCATGGCCTTTTGTTTTGAAACGACCGGAAGCAGACTACCTGCATCGGCTGTCCTGACAGATGATCATTGGTCTTGCACGTTGTTTCGTAATACTCGTAAAACTCAGGAAATGATTTCTCCATCACATCCCTGCAGCAAATCGCTGGATTAAGATTGTGCTCATGCTATGCATGTAAGCTGGATGATAGTAAAACATCACAACGCTTTAATACATAACTACATAAATCTGTGAATGCTCAGGCAAAATAAAAGCAGGACTGCAACACCACCTTTATGCACCTTGAGACTTAATGCTTCAACAAATGACAATGAGAGCGAATGATCAATTGAAACCTAATGGTTCTAGCCGTATTTACACTAATATCTGTGAGGAACCGATGTTTCACTGAGTTAATGAATGGCATGCTTTCTGTTGTTGTTCATAAATACAAACCTGCCTAAACGAACTTTGGAAAATAATAAATAGCCTAGTGCACTCAAAGATATCATCAACAAGGCAGCAATCTCTCTGACTCCCCCTCCGTATGTTATTCATATATGTTGTAAAGTTGGAACGCAGATGAATACAGATGGATCAATGAATACAGGTCAATATAGTGGGAATATGTCCTACTTTAGTGCTGCTGGACATTGCGATGCGAGGGAGTAGTGGCCCTCCAGCATATCACAGACGGCAACGCGAATCGTTTCGTGTCGTATGCAGTCATTGTATCGCTTGCAGTCACCCGCATGCCGCTCCTAAAATAAAAGACGAATGCAGGTTAATTTATTCCTGATGCGGCTTATTTGCGATAGGTAACAGCTTGGTTATATCATGTGCAAAGCTAATCTAGACCATTTAAAACCAAGTTTATTGCTCTAAGTAGCCGCACAGTCGCTATATGTGCTTTACGACCAATCGAGACATCTTTTCTACCACTCATGCCACTCATTTTAGTCGTTAAAAACAGGTAAGAGAGTAACCTGCCATCTCTCTTATGGTCGGCAATGGTAGCTGCCTGCCACAATGTCTCAACCCTCTTGCATCTATCAGATTTTTTCTCCATGAAAAGACATGTCTCCAGTACATGTATTCGTATTTGAATAACATGCAATAAAGATATAATAACAATAATAACAATGTTAGTTTAAATGTAGGAGTGATAATGACGCCATGCAGCTCTACCTGCTCAAAGCCCGGCTCATTATGATAAGGCTTCTCATTCATGAGTGATTGTATGGACATGAGAACACTGGACAGTGTCTGAGCAGGGCTCCACGCCGGACCGGACCACGTACTAGAAAATACACAGACACACCTCGCATTGACTTCCACCCAGTTTGGTATAAATACTGTCAGTTTCTTAAACGAATCTACAGGAATGAACTTGAATTTATATAGACGATCAGAAAACAACCAATTGAGACAAAGAATGGCCATATATTTAAAAAAAAGAATAGCTATGGTATAGGTTTGCTCTTGGGTGATCTACAAGGTTTCAATAACTTACCCCAGTATACTTAAACACACTTTGCCATTCTTGTACAGGTTGGGGTTGAATCGCACTTGTCCATCAGCAGTTGTCACTAATTTGACACGTGGCGGTCGAATCGGATAATCTGGGGGACACCTAAGCACCAATAAAATAATTAGGAGCTTTTTGTGCTCCAGCAAAATCGTAACATACAGTTAACAAAAACTAAAAATATCAGATATCACCTCTTAGATATAACTAGATAGATATAGATCCCTCTTAGATATCACTTAGATAAAGTGCACTCAATCAGGTCTATCACTAATAGGTGCACCCCTTTTTAACTGACGGTGAAGAGCTCGCAAGCTCATGGTGACATATCTGTTACCAATGTACCGTCTTTAAATAAATAAATAAATATATACAAAAATAAACCCCCATAACAAACAAGTGCCGCAGAGCGACAGCGCTCATCTAACGTCTACTGCGGTGACTCTGTGGTGGAGTGGTGGGATTCTAGTAAACCCTGTTAGTCCCAAATGTGTTCACGAATCACATACACGCCGAAACAGTGGAATGCACAGGGATGGTATCAGGAACCTTCTCAAAAGAATGTTCGTTGGGATCGTCTTATGAAAGTTGCCACGAGATGGCGCGTACGTTTAAGTGTCTTCAGATTAAAATGGAAGCTCCCATCATACGTAGTAAGCAACAAATATTTGCGAAACAGAATAGGTAAGCACTCATTCCATTTACCCCATACGGCAAGCCATAAACAGGCTGGTCAAAATTGCAATAAGAGCTGCCACCTGCAACCAATTAACGGCAGGAAAAACTGCAACCAACACATGCACTGGCAGCAGCCACTGGCAAGTGGGCATATGTTACATGTAACATACTGAACAGTACAGAATGACATAGAAAGTTATACGATTTAAGAGAACCATACACTTCTTTAACCCAAATTTAGCTTTGAAAAAATTTCCACTGTGAATTGTGCAGCCCTCAAATAACATTTCTCAGGACCATGTATAATTCTACTAGCAAACACACGGCAGTCAAGAATTCTTTCTAACAGACATGTCAACAAATCCAAGTTTAACCCTCCTCTGAGGGTCAAAAGGTTATCCGACA